TTATCTCTTTCTCTCTAGTTCTGGCAGTTCGGGAGCTGGATTCCTGTGGTGATAGATGATCGTCTGCCTGTGAATGAGGCTGGCCAGCTGGTCTTTGTCTCCTCCATCTACAAGAACTTGTTCTGGGGAGCTCTTCTGGAAAAAGCTTATGCCAAGTAAGACAACTGCCTGAATTCGCTCCCCTCTTTTCCCTCATCTTCTTTCTTCACTTGTCTATGCCGAGGGAGGGCAGTAGAAGCAGGTAAAAATTTAGATTTTTGTGTGTTGTATACCGTAAATCAGATCTGACTGGTACAGGAGGAGATTGTCCCTCCTTCTCCAGTAGAGCATGTGGTGGATTCGAACCACGCAACCCTGGGATTTCAGTACAGCTTCTTGCTACTAGGCCACCAGAGCTCACCAAAGCAGGTAAATTTATAGAGTAAGATTCTAAAGCATGTGTTAGTGGACACAGACATGACACACCCAGAGTCTCTATCTCCAGTTAAAAAAACATTCAGTATTTATTTTTTCTTTCCCAAGTGTTTGCAGTTGTCAAAGAGGAGAAAGGAATAGAAAGCTTTATAACATTTCTTCTTTTGTTCTCGGGATGGAAAGAATAGCATATCAAGGAATTCATGAGACCCGAGTGGACTATTCCAGGCTATATCATAGAACTTTTTATCCTGCTTTTCTCATGTAAACTGCTTCTCTGGACAGGCTGTCTGGCTCCTATGAAGACTTACAAATGGGGCAAGTGTCCGAAGCCCTTGTGGACTTCACTGGGGGAGTGACGATGGTCATCAACCTGGCAAAAGCCCCTGATAATTTGTGGGAACTCCTAGCCAAAGCCACCTGCAGTAGAACCCTCATTGGCTGCCAGACTCATTTAGGGGTGAGTCTGGGCTGGGAAATGAGAGAATGTCTACCTTCCTGTGCCTCTCCTTTGCGTCCACCATCTGCTGTCCTCTCCTCTGGGTGGGACCCATGACCTCCAGTCAAATGCTCATGTGGAGCACAGAACTGGATATCTGCATAGATGAGGAGATGTGAGAAGAAAGATGAGTGTCTAGAGAATTTCCAATCAATGCTAACCATGTGCAGAATACTTCATATGTGTGATTTATTAATGATCAAGAACATGAGACCAATACCATTGGTATAAAACAGGACTGACATTGGGGTTGGGGGGGACTAAGAAAAGAGGGGATAAATAATATACACTGCATGGGAACAGATGAGGGAAAGAACTGCTTAAAAGGAATATATGATGAGGTATTATTTGTATGATAACAGTCCAGAATAAGAGCTGCATAGTAAAGTGGACTGGGCTGAGGGTGAGGAATTGTATAACGATGATTCTTTTTTTCAAAGAGAAAAGTGAACTGGGGCGGAGGGAGGCAAGGAGGAAAATGTGCAACAATGAATGAATGGAAATCCAAGTTCTCTATAAACTTTCATTAAAATCTCAATAAGAAAGACAACAGCAACAACATAGGACCAGAGAAGGAAGCACTGGCTTCTTCCATGCCTCCCTGTCACTCATTTGTGCCACCTCCCACAATTATAGCATTTCTGAATCGTATTTGTTCCTTCTACAACTGCAGTGATAATCACTGCAAGGATGGCTCACTGAATTATTAAGGATCTCAAATGTTACCAAAGAGTATTTGGGAACTCGAATCTACTGTATTTCCCGCTCATTCTCATCCCTGCAAACCCTCCAAACACTCTCCTACTTACCCTCCAACGTTCAGCATCCCAAGGCCTAAGCAGGAGCTCTCTTTTGCCTCTACAGGAGGAGAGGGTGCTAGAGAACGGGTTGGTTCATGGCCATGCCTATACGCTCACAGGAATCAGGAAGGTGAGTTGCAGTAGGCCCTTCCCTTTCTTCTGAAGCCTTCTTATCTCTTAAGACCTCCCACCAAGACCTTGAGTTATCTTCATGAATGTTTGTATCTGTACCCATTCTGCAGAGTAAAGTTCCTAGAGAATCCTCCAGAACTTTCCAAACCTGTTGGTGGGCATGCCTCTGTACTGATTTCTTGGACTATACATTATCCAAAATTTTTCTCACGTGTTCTATTCAACAGTCTCTCATGTACCCTCCCATTACTGTTTCTCTCTTAAGCTCTACTGGGCATTGAAGGAAGGACTACAAAGAGCTGACAGTCAAGTATGGAAACAAACCCCTTTAGAAAATGGTGAGAAATGAATGCAGACATGGAAAGAAGAAAGCAGACATGAAAGGTTTTAGAAGTTTGAAGGGAGGAGAGAGGGTGTCCACCTAGCTTAGCTGAAGGAAACCAAGGAAAGCTTTATAACATTGACATTTGAGTGAGCTTATGAAAGATGGACAGAGTTCAGATCTGTTCTTCATAGGGTCACTATGGGTTGCACTTGACAGCACCGAACAACAACAATAATGAAAGGTGGGTAGGTTTATACAAGGGAAGAACAGCATTCTTCTTTGGATGAGCAGTGTTAACAAAAGCAGAGATAAGAAATAAAAAGGTTTCGTCTCAAAGAACCCTTGACAGTCTCTAAAGTGCTTGATTCTCCAAAATTTCTCCAGTCTTTTTTCAGTTTCTTGAACTCAAACTTTCCTTCTTATTATACCTCCTGCAAGTATACTTGGTTTTTATTTTCATATTGGTTTAACAAAAAAATTGTAGGGTATTGTCTATATGCTGAGTACTATATAAATATGAAATTTCTTTATCCTTTTATTTGGAAGCTCTGGTGGCCTAGTGGCAAAAAACTGGGCTGCAATCCCAAAGGCACACAGTTTGAATCCACCATCTGCTCTGCAGGAGACAGGTGGGCAATCTCCTCCCGTGTGATAAACTTCCTCTGAAAACCAGCCAGAGGGTCAGCTATGGGTCAGAAGGTCAGACATGGGTCAGATTCAGATCCGACTGGATGGTATATATCACAACAACAGTATAAATTTTAAGCCACTTTATCCTTGTAAAAGGTCTTTAAATCAGGAAACACAGGAATAGAGATGTTAACTGTCTCTCGGTGTTATTGCTACACTTTCTCCTCTACCAACTACTCTTTGATCTTTGAGTTTCCATTTCAAGTTCTCATCTGCAGGCCCGAGTCTTACCCAGCCACCTGGAACACTTGAAGTTGGCTCTTGTCTATTCCCTTAAACTTCTCATTTTGTGCAGGTGACCTGCAGACGGATACCTGAATATCTCGTGAAGCTGAGGAACCCCTGGGGGAAGGTGGAATGGAAAGGAGACTGGAGTGACAGGTGAACTTCTGGGCCTGGCTGGGGGAGTAAGGGAGAAGCACGTGAAGGGTGCAAGAGAAGTTGCCTTCTGTAAGCTTATTAAAATGTCTTTCCCCCTTGATCTCAGTGGATCACAATCACTTTTAAACTATGAGAGGCCACCCTCACATTTGTAATACATTTCCCCGTACATAGACTGCACTGTCATTCCTTATAATGATGGAAACTAGTATTTCTTGAGAGCTTGCCAGTGCTTTGAATCATTAACAACTCATTTAATCCTCTAGACTATGGTGTAATAAGGTAAGTAGTTTCAATGCCCAGTTTACTGATGAAGAAAAGATGCCTAGATGAAGTGAGTTATTTGAGATTCCACAGTATAACTCACTCCATGCTAGTACACTGCTTGCTGACTGTGCACTCTTGGCACTATAGAATCAAAATGCTAGAATTGCCCTTCCTAAAAACATGCTCAAAATGTGTAAGACAGTGTTTCACCATTCTTGCGTCTAAGGAACATTCTGTTAGCACTTCCTCTAAGAAAAATTTATTTGATCTGTCAGTTCACAGTATATTCAACACTCACACCAACACCACAATGCAAGGCTTCAATTTTTTTAGCTTTCGTCTTCATTGTCCAAATTTCAGATGCACAGGGAGTAAATGAAAATACCATGACTTGGATCAGGCACACCTTAGTCTTTAATGTTATACTCTTGCTCCTTAACACTTTAAAGAGAGTCTTGACAGCAGATTTCCCCAATGCAACATCTCTTTTGAATTATTAATTATTGATATCATGGGTGTTTATTGCTTATAGTCACTAAGTTGGACAACAACAGCTGCAGGTAAAGTGCTTAAAGGTTATATGAATCTCACAAGTTTTGCTTTTAAACACTCCCAGGGTAAGATGTCTCTATTCTAGAGCTAATTTAGCTTCAACATTGAGGTAAGGATCTTCTGGATCCATACTGAAGGTCCTAGCATTCCTTCGGCTCTCTCAACTCTGATTGAGTCAAAGGATTCCTGACCTTCTGTGGGCTCTGGGAATTTTTCCTGCTTATCACTTTTAGGTAATTTATTCTTTCTAAGGAATTTTTGTTTTCTTTTTTTAAAAAAAATAATTTTAATGAGCATTTATAGAAATTTGGATTTCCATTCATTCATTGCTGCACTTCTCTCCCCACCCATTTCTCCCCCCTAGTTTGTTCCTCTCTTTCAAAAGTAAAAGAAACACTCCTTCCCTGGTACACAATCCCCCCGCACCCCTCCTACCGCCCCAAGTACATTCCACTATGCAACCTTAATTGTGGACTCCTGTGATAAACCTTAAGACCCTATCATACATCGCTTTTAAAGGATTTTTTATTTTTTAATCATGTGGGCTTTTACTTTATGTATGCACAAATTCTAGTTAAATTCAACTCAAAGAAATTCTGCACAGATTTCTGAATTTCTTCAGGTAGTCTCCTCCTCTCTAGTATTTTGACCAGAAGGTTCTAGACAGCTCTGGCTTTGCTAAACTCGGCACCCTCTCTTCCATTTAGCAGTTTTTAGACTTTTCTTGGACTCGTGGCAAACTGAATAAGTGCTTGGATGCTAACTGAAAGGTCTGCAGTTTGAATCCACAAGCTCCTTTGCAGGAGAGTGATGGGGTTCCTTATTCCATAAATAGCACAGCCTTGGGACTTGACAAGGCAGTTGTACTCTGTCCTCTGGGGTCGCCAGGAATCAGAATTGACTCCGCAACTGCAATGATCCTGGATCACTAGCTGAGGAATTGCCTTTAGACAGAAGGTCTGGGGAATGTAAGAACTCATCTCATTTGCTTCTTATTCTCTCTCAGAATCATATAGCCCTGTGCTACCTACAGTCTATGAAAATAATTGTTTCTTATGTTTTAATCCATTTTTCATCATTTATGGTGTAGGGTGATATAATCTTATTTGTTTATGATTAGATGTAAAAGTTCAAAATAATGAGTTGGGAAAACAAGTCATTTCAACATAGTTTTAAATACTAGCCCTGACATTTTAATAACTTTAAGCAAGGACATAATCTCTATTTTAATCTTAGCAGTCTGGTGTCTAAAATTATAGATAAAAATTCCTACTTTGTATTGTTGTTATCCTTAAATGAAACAAAATACGGCAATAATCCCAGTCCAGTTGATTAGTTCATAATAATTGCAGGATTGATACTATCTATTGCTTCCATAATATGGAGAGTGACATTTTGTTATCTGTTAGGTGGCATGCAAATGATGATAAATAAATAACAGCACTGTAAAGCATTTGCTCAAGAATTTCAAATACGTCACCCACAACCCTTTCTTCATTCCCCATGAAAATATCTTTCTGCTTTCAGCTCCAGTAAATGGGAGTTGCTGTGTCCCAAAGAGAAGATCTTACTGCTGAGAAAATATGATGACGGAGAATTCTGGTACTTGGCTTGGGGTCTCAGGACAAATGTTTTGTTTTGCATTGAAATGTTGATCCAGGAAATAATCAACAACAACACTTCTAGTTTATCAACTGACTGACGTAGAGAAACCGATCAGACAGTCTCCACTCAGTAGGACCTCACCAAGGAGCAGGGAAAACAGACGCACAATCAGGACTCCTATGAGAGGGGAACAGTGACCAGCATGGAGCTTGTGGGCATGAGTCTTTGATACAAGGGCAGGAATGGATAAAGTGACTTACTCTTTCTTTGTGTCTTTCATTCTGCTCTTTTTTCAGTACGCTCTATCCCAATGTTTTGTCTCTACTGCCTTGAAAAAAGCAATGACTACTTTTTTTTTTACTACTAGGGGTTTTTTTTACTGCTAGCTTTTTTATTTACGAAATTCTAGTTCAGACCAAATTCTTCCAATTTCACACACACACACACACACACCCTTCCCTCTCATCAGATTGTACAGCCTCATAATTAATCCCCACCCCTGCACATCCTCATCCTTCCGCTTGTACCTCCACACCTTGGATCCTCATACTCATTCTACAACAATGGTTTTATACAGTATTTGTCCCTATGGGACTAAGTTAGCTCACTTAGCATAATGCTCTCCCAAGTTAGGTAATAATTTACAAAATCATTGCTCCAAGGTGACTACTTTTGAGCCCCATGGCCTGTAATCCTCCTGAGCAGAGTAACTCTACCCTCATATAGCCCAAAGTTACTCACCCTTCTTTCTGGAATCATATCAAGATACCCCAAGCAATTGCTGCTTCAGTTTCTGACATGAGACTTATCTTTCCCCTTTACCTTTGCTTTTCATTGTTTCCTCTTTCAAATATCCCACCCCACACAGAGTGGCCATATCCCCGCAGTATCCTCTGATCTCCACCCGTCCAGTTCAGATTACCATGGCCCTCTCCCTTTTGATGGTATTTTATTGAATACAGGATTCCTATAGAAACTATTACTCCACAACTAAGAAAAAGGAGCAGCCTTAAGACAGTTTAAATGTCACAGATGACATTAGCAAATAGGAGACAAGATTTCCATCATTTAATGACTGGACATGGGTTTGTGTAATTCATACTGAACATTTTTTGAGCAAGCTAACTAGCTATGAATGCTTCTGTCCCACTGTTGTCACCGAGATCCACAGAATCATTCTTTCAGCAGCCAACATAGGAAGTGGTTTGCACCTAGACAACACAATGTCTCGGTAATGCCACCTCCTCACAGTGGACCCTCACTATGCCTTAGCCTTCTCCCATGGCTGTCAGGCCAGCTCATCTGTGCACCAGAGGACCCGGGAGAAAGCCTTGTTCTGAGTGACAGCTGGGATGCCCTCTGTACGTCTCATTCCACCTCTTTGATCTCAGTAATTAGATGACATCTCCCTGGTCTCTTGTGTTGGCCTCTCTTCCTTCCCACAGGATGAATCTGCATGACTTCAAAGTGCATTTCGGGTTGCTGGTCATCTGTAAACTGACTCCAGGCCTGCTGAGTCATGAGGTTGGCCAGAGGTGGACACACACCATTCGAGAGGGGAGATGGGTCAAGGGGAGCACAGCTGGTGGCAGACTGAAATGGTCCCAAGGTGAGCAGGGCCACAAGATACAAAGCCTCTGGGCTTCAAAATGACAGCTTTCCTAACAAGGGCAGGCTCTGGGCAGACCCACTGCAGATGCTTGTGCTCTTGGCAGTTTGAACAGGGCTTCTGGCTGATGGGCAGCTGGCTTTTGTTTGTTAAGCTATGTGTTTTGGTTCTGGACTATGACCACTGGGAAGATCTCTCTCAAAAGTCCACACTGCTATCAAGTTAGAACGAATTCATAGCTGGGTTTCTGAGGCTTGTGAATCACACAGGGGACAATAGCTCATCTCCTTCTCTCAGAACGGTTAGTGAATTCAAATTGCCAGAGAGGCAAGGCCTTTTGGTTAACAGCCCAACTCCCTGGTCGAAGATATGGCACTGTTTATCTGATGTACACAAAGCAGCAGCCCCATCGGCCAATTTGTCAGCCTGTCCAGGTGCAAATTTCAAAAGGGGTGCTTCTTCTTAATTAGAATGGAGAGTCCTTTAGGATAAACAGGAGTCCTGCCCACAGACTCATAGGCCCATAGGTATGCATGCTGAAAGACTAGGTTATATCTTTCTTGGTTACTATGATTTAGAATTGACTTAACAACAGTGTGCCTAGTTTCTGAGTTTTAGGGTAAGGTCATCCATATGATGAAGAATCTCCCCCTTAACGGCAAAAGTGAGGTAGTAATTTTACTTACCATGACTTTGTTACCTGATAGGGAGCTCTGGTGGCCTACTGGGGAGGGTGTTGCACTAGCAGCCCAAAGGCACACTGTTCGAATTCACTAGCTGCTCCATAAGAGAAAGATGGTCTTTCAGTCTCCTTCTGGGTAATGTACAGCCTCTGAAAACCCACTGAAGGGTTAGCTATGAGTGGTTCAGACACACGGCACATAACAACAACATCTTCCCTAATACTTAGTGGGGAGACAAACATTAAAAGAAATAAATCTAAATTCTCAAAATGGGGAGGTTTGGTGACAGGATCTTTTCCTCCACGGAGGTCTCCTTTGCGGCCTTAGCTGTGCTCCCTCACAGGCCCCAGCCACCACCACAGGATCTACCGTAAAGGCTGGCATTGCTGCTAGAATGTAAGCACTTTGCCCTCAGTTTACAATCCCTGACGCAGCATATGTCTGAGGGGCACGCACCTTGCAACAAACATTGTGCAGGAAATGGGAAAAAAAGGATGAACATATTTGCTGGTCAGCGTGTCGAATCTGATCTGAAGGAGAGTAGTGTGAAGAGGGACAGAGTTGCCAGTGTGCCTGGACAGAGCTGAGATGGGGAAGACTCCATTGAGGGGGGAGGTGTCAAGGAGTGACAGCTGTGGAGGTGGCCTTGAACTGTCACCTCTTAGTGACTTGGTGAGAAGGAGGGAGAAGAGGTCCCAGAGAGCCAGGTGATAGGGGATCCTGGGACCTGTTTTTCAGTTCATTTTGTTCTGTCCCAGGCACATTTTGGAAGAACCCGCAATTCCTGCTGTCCGTCTGGAAACCCGAGTTGGGCCAGCGGTCCCTGTATCCTTGCAAAGTGCTGGTGTCTCTTCTCCAGAAGCCCCGGCACAGGCACCGCCTCCGGACGCCACACCTCCCCATTGGCTTCTACCTCTTCAGGGTAGGTGAGCTCCAGGAACCCCATGGGGCAGAGCTCAGTGTGGGACTCTCCAAGAGCTCATCTTCTCCTTCATGTGCTCTTCATTGTCTATTTTCGACCACAGGCCTGGGCTCAAATCTATGCTCTGTCCCTTATGAGATGTGATCCAGAACAAGTCCCCTCCTCTCACCTGAGTATCACTTCCCTCATCTCTGAAATGGGAGTCATCATCTTCATACAAGGGGCCTGGGAGAGTGTCCATCTTTGTGCCTGGAACACAGCTGATAATCAAAACTGATTTCCTTTTCCTCTTCCAAGAAGCCAATTGTCCCTTCTCTTGCCCTTTTCCAGACAGTGTTGGATGTTGGGTTGGAATGGCACAGGTGTCTTGTGACCGTATCTCCGGGTGGCCACTGCCATAGTTTCCATCAAGGACTGGGTGTGTGAAATAACCAAATCCTCTGCTTAATGAGCTCTCTTTCCTTGTTTTTCAGATGCATGGGGTGAGTTGCTCTCTGGAGCAGTGTGGGTAATGTCGTGCACAGAGAAGCCTCGGTGAGATTCAGTTTGGCCACAGCAGCTTTCTGGAATGTCTGACAATAACACAAGCTGCCTGTGTGTGTAGCTGGAAAGAGCATCTATGACTCTTCTTTAAATTCAAGGACCTTAAGAATTCTCCATGTGTCCATGAAGAGGTCTCTGAACCTGGCCTGGCACATATATTTCTGAATTTATTAAATCTCTGAATAGATAGATACCCAGGGCTCATATTGAAGACTGTCACAGCACAGCAAGGACAATAAATCACAACCTTGCCCGAGTTATAAAGCCATGAAATAGAAGCCTGTAACATATGGGGCATCAAGAGACCATGCATCTCACCTCCCTGGGGACAAGGGACAGAAGCTTGGGGAAGGGGCCTAGGGACCCACACAGAAGGGCAGTCATTTCTCCGTGTTTCACTGGCAGCCTGGAGAGATCTGTTCAGAAAGTGCAGAACATCTCAGTCGCAGAAGGGTGGCAGCTGTTATTTTATTTGGGTGAAATAACAGGGGTGAAAAACTTCATTTTCTTAGGTAGAATTGAATCAGGAAAAGTGATTTTATAAAGAAACCATTTTGCACTAGGCCATGAGTTGTCCGTCTACCCCCCTCCCCCAACTATGTGAACACTGAATTTTTCAAATGCTTCTTAATTTGAAAAGAAAAAGTTATTTATATCTTGCCTACTTCTAAATTGAATCTGGGTCAACTTCCACCAAAAAAAGTGTAAACAGAACAAAATTATCAACCAGTTACAAAATTAAACAGGCAGAAGAAAAATAACACTACAGGTGGTGGATACATAGACAGTTGATTCTAGTAATAAAAAATGTCTAGGCAGCTCTCAGATCCCCTGTAGCCAAACTGCAGAGGGAACTGAATGACTTCCTAGTTCTCATTGTTGATGGAGCCAAGTATGCTTCATTAGGAGATGGGTTTTCTCCCTGGACTTGAGTGGAATTTGCTAAGTGTGTTTCTATGTGGAGAAAAGAGAGGCAGAGGAGAAGGAGAGAGACAGACTGAAAGAGAAAGAGAGTAAAAAGATATGTCAAGGAGAAAACAACGTGCATGCCACATGCAGGAACCCTATTAGAACCACTGATCTGAGTCAGGTCTTCTGAGCTCTTGTCAGGCTCTCTTTCCCCAATAGGAGGCTCCCTCCTGAAGTGATTAGAATGCCCAGTTTGTCTTTGGGAAGTTCTTGTGATTTAGGTGGAAGATGGTTGGTGGTCCAACTGTTCTGGGTGGTCATAAATCACTATAACCTTGAACTTGCACCACACACGTAGAAGCAGCACTAGAGTGTCAAGGACACGGGCACTAGTATCGGGGTCCAGCCTCAATATATCTAAACCGTTCTGTGAGAGGAGGGACGAGGATTGAATGAAGGCTCAGAGAGACTACCCGTTGATGGCGAATAGTAAAAAACTTATTTTTCTAAAGCATATATAGGTTTTTAGAAGCACCTATCCAGTAGCCCTCGCATTATTTCTTTCTGTCCGAGATGTTGACTCTCAGGTCAAACATTAACTCTCACAGACCTCAGTACAATACAAAGATGTTTTACAGCATGTCTTATTGAGTGATCTAAGAAACGAAGAGTTTCAGGAGATAACATTCCCTAAGGTCTGAGACCTTTGGTCACTCTTATTCATTAATATCCTGCTTCCTTGAGTTGTATATTGCCAAGCAGATTTTCTAGTCAAGATGGAGTTAGTCTTGCTGGTTTCACAGTACAGGGCTAATCTTGCTTTGCAAGTAAGTCAGGCTTCTGACACACTAGGGTTTAGCTGTCCTCATTTTCAATCTTAGCTAGCAATATTACTATATTAAGAGATGGGTGAATTTGAGTAGATCAACTCAGATTTTTCAACTGCAATATAGAAATTGCAGACCCAGGGACATGTCTCACATCGTTTTACTTTTTTCACACAATGTCAAGTAACTGGACGTGCTTATTCCTATACTGATATGATCTCCACAGAGATGTCCCCTCACATATTTCTTTTCTCTCGCTCTCCAACCCTTCTCATGCTTCACTGGGGCAGGTTAAATGTGGCTAGTCAGAGTCACCTTAGTTCTAGCTCCTGGCCAAGTGTCTCAGGTGTGGCCACAAACTTGGATTGATCACTTCAACTGGTTCTCGACTTCCTCTGTTCACAGTACAGCGGTGATCAGCAGAGACTGCCTCCCGAGTTCTTCCAGGAAAATCCTCCCGTGAGCCAACCGGAGACATTTGAAACAAACAAAGAAGTGAGCCAAGAGCTATCGCTGGACCCAGGATCATACGTCATTGTGCCCTGCACATCCGAGCCTCACCAAGAGCTGGAGTTTATCCTGAGGGTCTTCTCCAGGAAGCACATATTTCAGTAAGGGTACAATCCTTCTCTGGGAGGTTAGGGTCCCCTGGGTTCAGGGAAGGTAATGAAGGTAAGGTTCTCTGCCACACAAGGAGGAACAGAGCAGACTATTCTGGCTGCCTGTATGAGGACCATCCATCCTTTCTTCCTCTTCACTTCCATTTAAATAAAGAAAATCCTCATGCTAGACATTAGAGATGGGAAGGTAGAGTAGTCACGATCCCCTCAGTGATGTCTGCAAAGAACACAGACCTGTAAGCAGTTAATCACATTCGCAGGTGAAGGAAGACATTGGAAAAATGTCCAAGAGGAACATTTGATCTAAACTTCCATGATCTTGGGGGAAATTGAGACAATTAATTCTAGGGAAATGATGATCCATAGACGATGCATAGAGTTTGTTAAGATACAGAAGATCATTATTAACTAATAGGCTCAGATGCTTCTGGGTGATGCACTTAAATGTTTATGTTGTTGAGTGCCTTCATGTTGGAATGGACCCGCAGCTGACCATCCAGTGGGTTTTTAGAGGCAGTTGATCACAAGGGAGGAGGTTGTCCATCCTTCTCCTGCAGAGCAGCTGGTGGAGTAGAAAGGCATGTCTTTGGGGTTGTAGTGCAGCTTCTTATCAATAAACCACCAGAGCTCCCAAACACCTTCCAAATCAAACATATTACTTTGCCTAATATTGATAGTTCTTTGAGGCCTACAGCAGGTTATTGACTCTATCATTATGACTTTTGTTTGATGATTTGCTTGTCTTTTAATATCCTGGCCATAGGTAGTTTGATTTCAAGACTCAACTACTCTTTCAGACTGTTGAGTTTTTAAATGTGAATGAAAATGATTCAGTGAGCTCACCTCATCAGCACTGAGTTGGAACCAACTCATAGCTGAGCCTCCAGCTGCTTTTCAGGAGGCTGTAAATGGTGCAGGAGGAGATGGCCCACCCTTCTCTCTCAAAGCCACTGGTGGATTCTAACTGCCTGAAAGGCACTGTTTGTAGATCAGGAGCAGAATTCTCTATGAACTCTGTCACCAGGTGAAGGCAACGGGAAATGAATGTACACCAAGAAATAAGCACAGGCAAAGATGTGAGGAACAGCACGAGGGTGTATGGAAGGCTAAAAATAGTTTGGTGTGCCAGGTGGCTGGATTGTAATTTCCAGGAGAATCGGTAGGTAATGCTTAAAAACTGGGCAAATCTAAGGCACCTGGAAGATGAGTTGCCAGGGAAGGAAGGACATTTGTTCAAAGATTTCTAAAGATAACACTCAAAAGAAATCTGTTTTTCTTTCTTTCAGTGAAATTGGCAGTCATTCCAATGTTGTCTTCTGCAAGGTGAGTAGTCCAGTTGAAATCAAATTTCACATGGTTAAAACTCTTCAAAGTCAAGATAGTGGATTTTTTGCATCATATGCTAAAGGAGACACTAGGAAAGGGGATAGGAAGAGCCCGGTCCATAAAGACCTTACTCTCTGATAAATGTGCCACGTCATCCGCTTATCATCATTCATCTCTAAGAGAACCTGCGCTCTGCTGTTGTTGATCTAAGAAAGAGTGAAAACAAATGTCATCAAATCCTGGTCATCCAGAGCCCTAAGTCACAGCTTTACGAGCTACCTCTATGTATTTTTCTGTTTCTAATTTCTGTACCTGAGAAAGCTGCTCACAAGCTTGTAAGACTCAAGTCTCTACCTCCAAATTAGTATATTAAACCTTGTCATTGTGGACTATGTTATTCCAACTGACCTTGATGTTCTCTGGACATAATCCTGACCTTTCAAGTGCAACAATTTTTCTCCTCAAGGGGTTCAATTATGGCTAGTAAGTTTTTAGAAGTTTGTGCCCCATATTGTCTGTTATGTATCATATATTTAAAACTCATATAAATAAAAGAAGAAATACCCTCTTCATGTTGTTATGAAGAGCCAGTTCTTAGAAAAGGAAATCATGCTTGGAAAAGTGGAAGGTCAGTGAAGGAAGGGAAAGACGTCAATTAGATGGTTGAACGCAATGACTGTAACAATAAGCTTCAATGTGGCAGAGATGATGAAGATGGCACAGGATAGGACAGGGGTCAGATCTGTTGTTCAGAGGGTCGCTATGAGTCAACTAGATGGCATCTAACAATAACAATAACTATATGTTTAAGTTATATGGACACACAACAACACAAAACCACCGTTATTTCATGTGGCCTAGTGGCAAGAAGCTGTACTGCAATCTCAAAGGCACTCAGTTTGATGCCACCAGCCCTTCTGTGGAAGAAGGATGGGCAATCTTCTCTCATGCTATTAACTGGCTCTAAAAACCTGCCAGAGGGTCAGCTATGGGTCATTTCTGACTCTACAGTATACAACAACAACTTTAAAATGTATGCTGAGAAAATAATTTGAGAAACTGGGCATTATGAAAAAAAATGTGGCATCAGGATTGGAGGAAAACTCATCAACAAACTGTGTTATGCAGATGACACAACCTTGCTTGCTGAAAGTGAGGAGGACTTGAGACACTTGCTGCAGAAGATGAAAGACTACAGCCTTTGATATGGATTAGATGTCAACATCAAGAAAATAGGAAATTTTACCACTTAGGCAACATCATATTAGCTGGAGAAGATATTGAAATTGTCAACAATTTCATTTTACTTGGATCCACAAGAGCACAACACCCTTGGTATCAACAGTCAGTAAATCAGAAGACATTGGTTAAGACTTCTGTCAGAACTTTTCCGAAGTCTTGAAAAGCAATGTTACTTGATTCAATCCACAGTCTTTGGAGTATCTGCTATTCATCTGAGATCTGGACAATGAATAAGAATGACAGCAGAAGAATCTTTTGTCTTTGAGTTGTGGTGTTGGAGAAGAGTACTGATTATCCCATGAAATGCCAAAAGAATAAATAGGTATGTTTTAGAGAAAGTGCAACCAGAGTGTTCCTTGGAGGCAATGATGGTGAAGCTTTGTTTCACATACTTCGGGCATGTTGTTAAGAGGAGCTATTTCTTGGAGAGGGACATCATGTCTGGAAAGGAGTCAGTGAAAGAAAGGAAGAATCTCAATGAGATGGATTGATGCAATGACTGTGGCAAAGGGCTCAAGGGTATTGGGAATGATAAGTAAAGGACAGAATTAATATATGTTTCTCATAGGGGCTCTGTGAGTCATATTCGACTCAACAAGACCTAACAACCACAACTACTTTAAAATGTAGAGGTACTCTTTGCTATGTCAATTGGGCATTTGGAATATATTTACATCTGTTTATGTTTACTAATTCTACAATTTCTCAATTTGTTACTATCTATTTAATTTTGTCTTCATTATAGTTTCTTTTCCTTTTTTGTCCTGTCTGGCCATTTTGATTTGGTATGTTGTTGTTGTTGTTGTTGTTATGTGCAGTCAAGTCACTTGTGACTCATAGCGATCCTATGGACAACAGCCCTAAACCCTGCTCTGTCTTGTGCCAATCTCACTGTCTGTGACACACCCATCCCGATTACCCCAGTCACTGAATCAATCCACCTCATGGAGGGTTTTCCCCTCTTGCACTGTCCCTCCACCCTCCCAAGCATGATGTCCCTCTCTAAGGACTGGTCCCTCCTTGCAACATGTCCAAAGTATGTCCGATGAAGACTCAGAATCCTTGCCTCCAAGGAGCAGCCTGATTTCACCCTCTCTAGGATGAATCTGTTTGTTTTCTTAGCAGTCAATGGTACATTCAATACTCTTCTCCAGCACACAGCTCATATGCTGGTGCTTTTGAATTGATATTCTCCTTCTAGCCTCCTTAGTCATTGTCCAAATCTCTGACACATAGCAACTGATTGATTATAAGAAACTATTAATCTGAATATGTTGATGTTGGTTGTTTCTGTATTTCTACTACACATATTATTGAGTTTTCCTTTTAAGTTACTGGGAAATAGTTTGATTCTTTTTAAAATTGTGCTTTTTGGAACTAGAGAAGCCTTTAGTCTAGAATTATTTTTTCACCACACTTTAGGGAATGACATTTTCGTACAATACCCAATGTCCTATGGATTGCAAAGTTTTTCACTCTATTTGATGGAAACATGCTAGGTTTACAGAAATCCTCTCCTCTCTGACATTCTGTCATGTGAACTCTGGCCTTTTTGGCCTTTTCTCACCCTTAGCTCCATCTCCTCATTTCACAAAGAATATCAGGTTTTATCTGGGTTTCCCACCCTATATCATAACCTGAGAGCTGGGAACATTGATGTCTATTGAAAGTCGCACTGCTAACCTTCAAGCTGAGAGCTGGGCTTGTTTGTTCCACTTCTCTCACCAATGACTGTACTCTCAGAATGAATGAATGTGCTGCCTTGTGTCCAAAGTCCAAATGTCTTTGCTTTGTATAATTCAAGTCAATTCAACCCTTGCCTTTGAGTAGGAATCAACTCATAGTTGACCCGCTAGTGGGTTTTCAGAGGTCATAAATCACTCAGGAAGAGAGTGCCAATCTTTTTCCAAAGTAGTTGCTGGATTCAAACTGGCTGCTTTGGGGTTGGAAGCATAACTCCTTATCCACTAAGCCACGAAAGTTCTCTTCTATAGTTCATTTCAGTTGTTTTAGGCAAGAAAATAGGATGACTATTACTCTATCTTGCTCTGAAGCATACTCATTGATCTGTTTCTAAGAAAGAGAAAATCTGTCTGAGGTTTTTCTCTAACCAATTTTCTTGCCAGAGTGCCTGGTCAGGGAATTTAGCCCACTTCCACTGTGGATGGGGCATGAGACCAATGTAGACAATCATATTTAGAACCAGAAACCAAAGCTCAAACGTCTGTCAAAGTACAGGGTTTCTCTTTCTGCTTTCAGACATGTATTCAGCAGTAAGACCTAAAGGAGAGGCTTATATACGCTGTAAGTTAGGATTGAGTCTGAATGCTTTCATCAACAAACATTTCTAGTTGGAGGATATGACGAGCAGTGTCAGAGAGAGTTGGAGAGTCATGGATTAGAGTGAGTACAGTTTCAGAGTATTGACTGAATAGTTGTTGTCGTCGTTGTTGTTATGTGCCATCGAGTCGTTTGCGACTCATAGCGACCCTATGTACAACAGCCCTATACCCTGCTCTATCCTGTGCCAATTGCATTGCCTGAGACACACCCATCCCAATTACCCCAGTCACTGAATCAATCCACCTCATAGAGGCTCTTCCCCTCCTGCGCTGTCCCTCCACCCTACCAAGCATGATGTCCCTCTCCAAGGACCTGTTTCTCCTTACAACATGTCCAAAGTATGTCAGACGAAGCCCCAGAATCCTTGTCTCCAAGGAGCAACCTCGTTTAACCCTCTCCAGGATGAATCTGTTTGTTTTCTTGTCAGTCCATGGTACATTCAATACTCTTCTCCAGCACCACAGCTCAAAGGCATCAATTCTCCTTCTGTCCTCCCTAGTCATTGTCCAACTCTCTGATGCATAACAAGTGATTGCAAAAACCATGGCCTGTATCAGGCGCACCTTAGTCTCCAGAGAGACGCTGTTGCTCTTGAGTACTTTGGAGAAGTCCCTAACCGCAGACTTTCCCATGGCAATACGTTTTTTGATTTCCTGGCTGCTGATGTCAAGAGTGTTGACCGTGGAGCTGAGCAAACTGAAGCTGTGAACAATCTCAATCTCTTCACCATCCATCCTGATGCTACCAGTTGGTCCAGTGGTGAGAATCTTTGTATTCTTGGCATTGAGCCTCAGTCCATACTGAAGGCTGCAGTCCTTGACCCTCTGCAGCAAGTGCATGAGGTCTTTCTCAGTTTCAGCAAGCAAGGCTGTGTCATCTGCATAACGCAGATTGTTAATAGATTCTTCCACCAATCCTGACACCACACTTCTCGTCATAGAGCCCAGCCTCTCTTATAATCTGTTCTGCATACAGGTTGAAAAGGTATGGAGATAGGACACATCCCTGGTGTACACCCTTCCCAATTTTGAACCATGCAGTGTTACCTGCTCTGTTCTGATGACTGCCTCTTGGTCCAAGTATAGGTTTCGCATTAGCATGATTAAATGTTCTGGGATTCCCATTCTTCTCAGAGTCAGTCACAGTTTGTTATGATCCACACAGCCAAACGCCTTTGCATAATAAATGAAACACAGATAGACATTCTTCTGGTATTCCTTGCTTTCATCTAAGATCCATGTAACATCAGCTATAGTATCCCTAGTCCCACGACCCCTTCTAAACCCAGCCTGGCCTTCTGGCAGTTCTCTGCTGATGTCCTGTTCCAGTCGTTTTTGGATAATCTTCAATAGAATCTTGCTTGCGTATGAAATCAATTATGTTTTTCTGTAGTTTCCACACTCACTTGGGTCACCCTTATATTTACGTCTTCTTTGTGTTCTGCTTAAGAAAACAGGACACGTTGTTGTTGTTGTTGTTGTTGTTATGTGCCATCAAAAATCACTTGTGACTCATAGCGACCCTATGTACAACACCTGAACCCTGCTCTATCCCTTGTCAATCTTATTGCCTCTGACACACCTACCCCCAATACCCAAGTCACTGAATCAATCCATCTCATTGAGGGTCTTCCTCCGCTGCACTGTCCCTCCAATCTCCCAAGCATGACACATTGGGTGATGGAATATGAGAAAAACAACATTTGTTAACTCAGAGGAATAGAAGCTGTGAGATATTAATATGTACATGAGAGTCCATTTATACAGATGATTAGTTAAGTCTTTCTACATTTTTATTCCAACAGGAAATAGTTGACAAAAATGAAGGGCAAGATGAATTCTTTACCAAACTTTTTGAAAAGGTAAGTAATTAAAGCATGGTTGTAGTGGAGAGGAGGGGGCTGAGGACAAATTAGAGAACAAAACTCCATGAACCATGGGTTTGCCCGTGTATAAGTCGTAATTTAAGTTACCTATCAGAGATTGAGATTGTTAGCAGCTTTAGTTTGCCTGGCTCCACAATCTACACTCTTGGCATCAGCAGCCAGGAAATCAAAAGGTGAATTGCATTGAGAAAGTCTGCTGTCAGGGACCTCTCCAGAGCAGCGATGTCAGTCTGAAAACTAAGATGTGCCTGATCCAGGCCATAGTCTTCGAAATTACTTGCTATGTGTCAGAAAGCTGGACAATGACTAGGGATAATAGAAAATTGATTCCTTTGAACTCTGGTGCTGGAGAAGAGCACTGACTATATCAAGGACTGCTAGAAGAAAAAACAGGTTCGTCCTAGAAAAGATGAAACCTGGCTGCTCCTTGGAAGCAAGGATTCTGAAGCTTCGTCTGACATACTTTGGACATGTTGCAAGGAGAAATGAGTCCTTGAGGAGGGATGCCATGCTTGGGAGGGTGGAGGGACAGCTCAAGAAAGGAAGACTCTTAATGAGATGGATTGATTCAGTTACTGGGGTAATGTGGGTAGGTGTGTCAATGACAATAAGATTGGCACAGGATAGAGCAGGTTTCAGGGCTATTGTACATAGGGTTGCTCTATGAGTCTCAAGCGACTCGACGGCACATCAACAAAACTAGCACTTCTCATTTATGTTCTTAACATTTTAGACAAATCAGTTGAGCCATTGTCTCTAGCAGATTCTTGTGAAATGAGTATTTGTTCCAGGAAATGACATTGATAAGGTGTAAAAGTGTTCATCTAGTCTTTGCTGCCTTAGAGAATATAGTCGTGTGATAAAAGTACAGAATCATTACTACAAAGGGGGCTAAATTGGGGCGTGAGAGGAGATGGCTGGGCCTTTGGAAAAGAAAAATGAAAAAATGCTCAAGAAGAAGATCCCTTAGTTGGGGACCGAGGGAAGGGCTGAAACTAGTAAGACATCAAGGAATAGAAGGACCTGGGCTATGCTCCTGTCCCCACCTTACATTCTTTTCATTGGAGTAATCCAAATCTGAGAACTAGCTGAAGACCACTGCGACTTCACAGCAGGGCTGTGAAGACTGCTCTTTCCATGGCTACAAATGATTAAGTCCAATGATATAGAAACAAGAAAAAGACTGGAAATCTGTAGTCTGATAATCTTAACTATTCTGTTAAAGCTGCATGGACATGAACTCCTTGAGTTAGGAACAGTCATTACTTAAACTTACAACTAATCTATCCCTTTTAAATTCTTCTCTAGTATTTTGTTTAATATAGCCAAAGAAGACAATCTACATTCTTATATTTTTGTTCATAAAAGTTTTCCTCCATGTCAGTGGTTTAAAACCTTTTTTATTTTCTTCAGTCCTTTTATCAAATGAAATCCCAAGGAGAATCTCAATATATATGCATGCTTGCAAAAGAACTGAAGATAGATATCATAAAATTATATATTGTGAATGGATCAGTTTTATAAGCTCAAATTTATGACACTTGTGTTTTATCTGCATGTTTTCATATGAGTGAACATAAAGAGTTGCTTTTGATGAATCTGAAGCTCAAGATGGTCCTATTTTATTAGCCATAAAATTTAAACAAAATTTCTTGTAGAACTTCTGAAATAGCCGTACAGAACCCAGTTTGGAGGCTTAGGGAATTCACCTCGCTAAGTGTCTTAGAACTTTGCATCTAGTAAATAAAACTCACTGTACAAGTTTTTATAAGACCACAGATTGGATTATACTTCCAATCACACTTTCTTTGTATGACATAGTCACTGGCTTCTGCTGAGAACTGGCATATTTACTGGGTGGAGCAGATAAGGAGAGGGCGTTCCCTGTAGATCTTCCCTCTTAGCTTGTGGCTCCTGTGTTGTGTAATAAGTCTTCAATAGTGTTGATTTTCTCCTGTTATTCTGTTTCCTCATTAGTATCCAGAAATAAATGCAGTTCAACTACAGGAGATCCTGAACCAAATGACCTGGCCAGGTGAGTATTTCAGGAGTCAACAGGACACAGAAGGGCACACTTTTCTGAGCTCTGGCTCAATTTCTCTGTGCCATGGTGGGATGTGTGACTTACTGAGTACTGGCCCCACTGAACAGCTATGTTTTATCCCGGGATAGGTCACGTTGTTTGACAAAACAGAAGAAGTATTTATGCAGCACAGAAAATCATTATTTCCTGATTTAATTTGGTTGAAAACAGAAAGATAGAAGCAAAAATAAAGATTTCCTCCACCTTCTATATCAAGAAGAAAAGCCGAGTGCTTCTATTCTTGGCACATAAATTCCATTTGGAGTAACTGCATTTACTTCCTTAATCAGGGAAATAATTTATCTGATCAGTTTATATTTAAATTGATCAATATAGAAAAAAATGTAAAGTCTATTGCAAATGAGTTGAATGGATGCTTTTATATCAAGCCTGGGATAATCCACAGAAAGGATTAAAGTCTATAAAAAAATACTTATATCTGTATTTGGAATGAGAAGAACATGAAAGAAATAGCCTGACTTCTCCAGAGAGGAAAATGAACCTTATGCAATTAAAGAGGAAATGTGATTGCTTTTCCTTTTAATGAAGCCAAAACATTAAACTCAGTCAAATTCTAGCCCAGGGTACAATATAAGTCAGGGTTTTGAAATAATTTCCATGTGATTTCTCAAAGCCAATTTCATTTATCAATAAAACAGGCAGAGGAATAGATCTTTGGAGTAGGAAACTAAATATACCCCAAATATTTTAGGTTGGTTCTGGAGGAATTATCTAGAAGAAATGGCTCGTGTGTATTTGAAAGAAAATAAAGGTCTCATTCACAAGGGTGTGAGATAAATGCTCAAGGACCATGTGGACAAGTTACATTCATTTAGGCCTTTGGAGAGTTCCTATATTGATGAGTCAGAGATTACTGCTGATTTTAACCAAATATTTGGTAGTCTCCCATGATAAGTGATGAAGTGGTGATTGGAAAATGGTAGCATTAGAGCACTCACAGCAAGTCATTATTTCAAAAGGATTATATAAATACAAAAGTTGAGGACTAATTCTAGTTGAGAAGCCTCAGATAATGCCCCTGATCTACTTTATTTACCCAATTTTGATCAAGCGCTTGGAGGAAGACATGGGATGCCGGCTTATCAGATCTACAGATGGCACAATACCGGAAGGACTCATTAATATAAAAGACAGCGGAATTGAAATCTAATATGTCCTCAACAAGCTGTGCCCAAACCGACAAGATGAAACATAGTTAGGATGAAAATAAAACACTGCCATTTTGTTATATTTTTTAAAAAAAAAATTGTAGCACACATTTAATGCAAAAGAGGCCTCATTTTTGTGGCAGTTTATTTGAAAGATATCTGGTTTAATTTAGTTGATCTCAAGCTTTGCTTGAGCTAATAATAGTTTCAAGTTGCTGCTTATTAAGCTAATACAAATTCAGGCTATATTTAATGGCAGCATTTAGATTCATGTTTTTGAAATTGTGTTCCAAGAAACATTAGAAACCAAGAGGTTTTAGTAAGTGTTCCATGAAATAAATGGGATTAGGTTCTGTGGTCAATTATGCTTGCAAAATTCTGGGTTAAACAAAATTTAATTGTTAGCTCTTTGGTACTTATCATATGCTAATGGTGCACGGTGAATGGAGAAAAAAGGCCTATGGATACAAAGTGTCCAGAATTTACTTGGTCACAGAACTATTTCTCTGCAAAACCTCTCCCTTTGGATATCATTTGGAAAACTGTAGCTTAAAACTTGGAAATGATAGGTCTGCTTAATCAAAGTACAGCTGAAAGGTTGTGTTCAAATTTAGGCACCATATTTGAGAACAATCCTGGAAAACTGATTGTATCTAGAAGACAAAGACCAAAGCTCTGGTGATAAAGTGAGTTAAGCATTGGACAGATAACCCAAAGGTCAGCAATTCAAATATACCAGTTACATCTCAGGAAATTGGAGGAAGTCTCCTATAAACAATTGACAGGCTTGGAAGCCCCATGGAGCAATTCTACTGTCTGATTGTGTCATTGTGGTTAGAATTGGCTTGATGGCACATAAAAACAAAAGGAAAGGATAATGAGAGATTATAAATAATGTCATCTGGGGAATAACTGCAGAAATTTTTAACGCTTAGAATGGAGGGTAGAAGATGAAAAGGAAACGAACAATTGGTACTTTTCTGGAAGCAGAACTAAGATCACTGAGTGAATATGACAAGAGGTTCCTTTGCATTGACATGGCAGGGTAGGGCTGGTGACTTAGAGCTGTCCTGCTGTGGCCGGATTTCTGGGTAAGAACTTGGCACTCATTCCTGACAGAACATCTGTCAAAGAATATGAGAAACAAACTTCTTGATTTGAGTGAGACCTTGGGCAGATTGACCTTTCATATATGAAGATCTGCAGTTCTGTGGCCCCAGCTCTGCCTAAGGACAGAGAGCTATGTCTATTTGACTTCGACTGGGGGGAAAAAAATCCTACTTGCATTGAATGTTTACACAGTCTTTTCCTGAATCCCATTGATTTAGGAATCACCTCCAAGCCTTCTTTTGCTCTCCACTGCTCTCTAATTCTCCCTTTGTCCTTTCACTTCAATGGTAGTTTTTAGAATCCATGGAGTCTGGATAGTATTACCCTTCTCTTTAGAAAACCAGTGGGCAGTGTTGGGCCAACCCTCATGCATACTCTTTCTGTTTCTGCACAGATCTGAGGAACACACAGCCCTTCTTCAGCCTTGAAGCATGCCAGGGGATCCTGGCCCTACTGGATGTATCTTTTCGGTGGGAAGGTGCAGGCTGCTGTTTTAAAAGTTTATCTCTGGAGCCTGATTGCCTGGGTTTGAATCCTATTACTTACTGTTTGTGTGATCTTGGACAAGCCACTTAACTCATTGTACTTCAGGGTTTTTATCTGAAGCACAGAGAGACTATGAAAACCTACTCTGATGGGACAGCACATGTAAAATGTTTATGATAGAACTGTCTGTCACGTAAGTGACCAATGTTGTTAACTAGGTGCCATGAGGCAGCTCTGTCTGACTCTATCCACAACAGAATGAAACCTTGCCACCGTGAAGACAGTAGCAAAAGTAAAGTGTGATTTAGTCCTTGGCCCACTCTGTGTTCTCAAGTAGAAGGTGCTAATTTGACCAAGTCACTTCAGAAGCAAAACTTACTTGATCTGCAGGCTATGGTATACCCATCCACTTTTAAATGCTCAAAAAATGATTAAGTGTAATTCAAAAGATACATCTATACCCATCCTGTGCCTCCTTCCATAGGTTTGTTTTAATACGAATAAAAAAAAAAGTTACTGTTTTTTGTTCAAACAACATCACATTGGCCATACCAAAAGGTCCTGCATCACCCTCCTCATCACCACCAATGCTGCTGTGTTCTGGTTCACTTCATTCCATCCTGGTAAGGATGAAGGAATTCGGGTCCGATTAACTAGTGAGAGGAGGCCAACCAGGAGTATCAGGCTCTCAACAGGACCATCCACAAATGCACGCAGATCTCTGGACACCCAGCCACTGTCCACAGTGCTGATGTAGAAATGTGCTCCTAGAACCTTTTACCTTGACCCTGTTACCAGCTTAATGCATCTGGTACTGTGAGCATCCAGGAATTCAGGGACCTGTGGAAGCAGCTGATTCTCTATCAGGTAAGAACCAATCGTAACTACTCTTAATGAGATGGGTAAGAAATAGAGGCTTTTCTAGTTGTGAGAAAAAGATCCAAAGTATGTTCTTTCCCTTCAGCCCTTCTCTATCACTCACCAATTTTTCTTTAATATCCCTCCCAATAGCTCCTCCTCCTCCCCTCTCCTCTGTAAAGCCTGTTGCAAAAACCTCCTGATTTT